TTAATTATTTTAAAACATATCTATAGAGGTAAGGGGGGCACCCAGTGTGGGAGTTGGGGGCAAATAAGTGGGGAACAGGACTTCTAAAAGGCCAGTATGTCTGGGAGACTGTGGTACAAGGCTATTTTCGTTGGCTATAAGCGGGGTCTGCGGAACCAGAGGGAACACACAGCTCTTCTTAAAATTGAAGGTGTTTATGCCTGGGATGAAAGAATTCTACTTGCGCAAGAGATGTGCTTATGTGTACAAAGTGAAAAACGACACAGTAACTCCAGGTGGCAAACCAAACAAAACCAGAATGATCTGGGGAAAAGTAACTTGGGCCCATGGAAACAGCGGCATGGCTCGTTCCAAGTTCCGAAGCAATCTTCCTGCTAAGGCCATTGGACACCGAATCCATGTGATGCTGTACTCCTCAAGAATTTAAGCTAGGGGCCAGGGAGATGGCTCAGCAGAATAAGCGCTTCCCTGGTAAGCGCAAGGGCCTGAGTTCAATCCCCGGTTCCGGAAAAAAAAAAAAAAAAAAATTAAACTAATGGAAAATAAAAGTACTTTTGTGCTCTTGTAAATATACAAAAACAAAAAACATATCTATACGGGGCCGGGGAGATGGCTCAGTAGGATAAGCGCTTGACTGGTAAACGCAAGGATCTGAGTTCAATCCCCGGTTCCGCCAAAAAAGAAAAAAAAAAAAAAAAAAAAAAAACATATCTATGATAACTTTTTTTTTTAGAGTCAGGATCTCCCTATGCAGTTCAGGAGACGGCATGGTGGCGCGCACCTGTAATCCCAGCTCTTGGGAGGCTGTAAACAGGCAGATCACTAGGAGTCTGATCTAGTAGTAAGACCCTGAACACTCTATACACCCTTCTCTAAAGCAAAAAAACAAAAAACATAATCCCTATGCAGTTCAGGCTGGACTTCAGCTTACTTTATAGCCCAGGCTATAAAGAATTGTTGAACTCACAACAATCCTCCTGCCTCAGCCTACCAAGTGCTAGGATTATAGGAGTGCACCACCATGCCCAGCCTATGATACCATTTTATAGTAATCAGCAATATTAATAATTAACCAAGTTAATAATTCATAATAACATTCCTTTTTTGTTTTTTGTACTTCTTGGGCTCAAAACCTCAAGTATGCTAGACAGGCACTATATCACTGAGCTATTACCTTTAGCATCATTAATTCTTCAGTATCATCTAGCATAGTGATAGCAAACTTTTTAGAAACCAAGTACCCAAACTAACCCAAAATCCATTTATTTATCACAAAGTGCCAACACTGTGATTAAACCTATATAGCAGGGTTCCAGAGTAGAAAAAACAACTCATACATCAGCAGAACAAGGAGAAAAATAATACCCATGCCATAGGTTTGCTACCATCGATCCAGCACCTAGTCTATATTCAAATTTGCCTGACTTAAGATCCTCAACTTAATCTTTCTGAATGTGGCACAACAGCAAGTCATAATTGAATAGGGAGCATTTTTTAAAATAACTTTACTGGGGGCTGGTGAGATGGCTCAGTGGTCTAAAGCACCTACTCAGAACAAGCCAAGCAAAGCACAGGGACCGCCGTTCAATCCCCCAGCACCACATGCCAGCCAGCCCCGCCCCCTGGTGGGCTGAGCTGGCCACACACACACTAAATAAATAAATAAAATTAAAAAAAATAAAAATAAAAAAAATAACTTTACTGAAATGATGGTGCATTAACCACCGCAGCATCTTAGATTTGGTAAACTGTAAGACACAAAGTCTGCTTACAGCTGTTTAGGTATTTGTACCTGCTCGCCCCAAACAGGACACATACTGAACTCCACACCCATTGTAAGTGCTTCAAATGGTGGAGGTTACCACCTTCCTGCCAGCTTGAACCACATAGTGCATGTGTGACTGTCACGGGTATGCCCCTGGTAGGTCAGAGCAGCCCAAGAACAAGTCAGAGAAGTACAGCCCTAAACACGTTAAGTCTTTCCACAATCTTGTGAAGTTGTACTATGAATATTCCCATCTCATATATGAGAAAATTAAGGCATAGAGAAGCTATGCAATATCCTAGAGTCACACTGCAGCTAGTAATTTTTCAGCCAGAATTTTGTTTCCATAATTGGGATTAAATCCAGGGAAGGCTGAGCCACAAGCCAGGGCCTTTTTATAAGACTTTTGAGACAGAGTCTTAAGTTACCCAGGCTGCCCTCAAACTTGTGATGTTCCCATCTCAACCTCACAGTACAGTAGTCCCTCGTCACTTCGCAGTTTGACTTCACAGACCCACTGTTTTACGGGTTTTCAAAAAAATATTAATCTGGGGCGCCGGGGAGATGGCTCAGTAGAATAAGTGCTTCCCTGGCAAGCGCAAGGACCTGAGTTCAATCCCCGGTTCCGAAAAATAAATAAATAAATAAATAAATAAATCTAAATTATTTACGGCAGACTTTTCACTATATTGCAGGACTTTGTGGTGATGTACAGTATTGTATAGGTATTTTGTAAAAATTATGTATGTTTATGAGTTTAGAAAAGGATTAAGAACATTTGAAGTGGGGCTGGTGAGATGGCTCAGTGGTCTAAAACACCTACTTGGAACAAGCTTGGCAAAGCACAGGGCCTGCGGTTCGATCCCCCAGCACCACATGCCAGCCAGCCCCGCCCCCTGGTGGGCTGAGCTGCCCCCCACACACAATAAATGTTAAAAAAAAAAAGAACATTTGAAGTATTTTTAAAAGTGTGGGAAAAATTTATGGGCGTGCGGGAAGGGTTTATAAAGCCTTAAAATACACATATACATACTAAAATAAATAACGTTGCTAGTTCGCTTATTTTCAATTATCACAGGGGTGTATGGAACGTAACCTCCATGATAAGTAAGGGACCGCTGTACACTGTGCCCAGCTACAGCCACAATTTGTATTCCCTTAACTCCAGAGCACACAGTGGAGCCACTAGAACAGGGACGTCTCATCTTCTAAAGTAAAACCCATCTCCCCAGTAATTGAGTCTCCAAAAGCACCAGACCAGAGTTTCCTTAAAATAATTAAATATATGGTTGTGCTTTGACTTACCTATTTTTTTTTTTTGGGGGGGTGGCTTTTTAGTTAGAGTTTTTTTTTTTTTTTTTTTTTTTGGTGGAACTGGGGATTGAACTCAGGCATTTGGCTTGCCAGGGAAGCACTTATTCCACTGAGCCATCTCCCCAACCCCTGGTTTGTTTTTTAAGATAAGGTTTTGCTAGAAGTTCAAGCTGGTCTTGAACTCACTATATAGCTAAGGCTGATCCTCCTGTTCTTGTCTCCTGAGTGCTGGAATTAATGGCATGCACCTTTTCACTCAGCTATTTTCAGTTTTCTAAGACAAGGTCTCACTATATTGCTCCATCTGGCCTTGAACTAGCTATGTACCTCAGTCTAGCTTCAATCTTGCAATCCATCCCCCTTCCTCAGCATCCCACATACTGGGGCTAAAGGTATGCACCACTGCACCCCGCTATGGATTTGCTCTTACATTTTTTTTGTTCTTGAGACAGGATCTCATTATATAGGCTAGGCCAGCTTTGAGCTAGCTATGTAGCCCAGGCTGGCCTTGAACTTACAATTCTGCCTTTCCCTCCTGAGTGCTGGGATTATAAACATGAGCCACCATACCCAACATAACTTACTTTTTTTTTTTTTTAATTATTTTATTTTTTTTTTATTATTTATTTTGTGTGTGTGGCCAGCTCAGCCCACCAGGGGGCGGGGCTGGCTGGCATGTGGTGCTGGGGGATTGAACCGCGGGCCCTGTGCTTTGCTCAGCTTAGCTTGTTCTAAGTAGGTGCTTTAGACCACTGAGCCATCTCACCAGCCCATAACTTACTTTTTTAAAATTTATTTTCTTTTTTTGCAATTTAGGGGAGAGCCTACAAAGTGTTCAGGGTCTCACTACTAGATTGGACTTGTAGTGATCCACCTGTTTACAGCTTCCCAAGAGCAGGGGATTACAGGTGCGCGCTACCACGCCCAGTCTCAATTGCCATCTCAGTACACCTCAGGGCCAGGGCCAACACAGCAGGCCTGGAGATTGAACCCCTGGCCCCTGTGCCTGTTTGCAGGCACTTTAATCCGCTGAGCTATTTGGCCAGCCCTATAATTTGCTTTTAAATTCATGTTTTTAACATTCAAAATTGTACCAAGTTCTTGAATCTCTTTAAAGTCCATTATTCAACTTTTAGGATTTGTTACTTCTTTTTTTTTTTTTTTTTTTGCAGGGCTACATCAAATGGAAGGGGAGGCAAACCAAAGGTTCTGCACATGCTAGACAAGAGGTCTACCACTGAGCTCTATCTACAGCTCCAGATGAAAGTTCTTTCATGGGATGTTCATTCGTATGTTTTTTTCCACACTCATCGGTTTTCTTCCTCTTTTAGAAGGCTGCACTGGTGTAAGATAAGCTATCACGGGAGGAATACCTCTGGGGGCAGCAGATGAGTGTTTCAAGAGGTTAGACAACTTTGTTAAACAAAGGTCATACAAACTAAGTATGAAATAGCAAAAGGAAACTCTGAAGCTAAGCCCCACAGTAGAGTCCATAAAGATCTTTTGAGATCTACAAGTAGGTTATTAACAAAGCTGCAAAGTCATCAGCACTGGCATTTATAGCTCGGTGCCTGAATGAATGGTGTAATAGTAAGCACTCTGAAAAAGAGACAAGCTGTTGGCCTTTAAAGATGCTTATTCCTAAAAAAAAAAAAAAGCATTGAACTTTGGACTGGGGATGTGACTCAATGACAGGGTGCTTGCAAAGGCCAGAGGTTCAAACCCCAGCATGGCAAAAAGGGAAATAAAAATGAGAAAAGCACATTATGATATAAATGAACATAAGACTTAACATATTCTAACAAGAAGAACATTGATCCTGGTTTTTTTTTTAAAATGGTGTTATTCTAGAATAAAGCATTACCAGAGAAAGATAAAGATAATTAGGAGCTCTGCAAGGACCTAAGCCCTCACCACTTACAGTCTCATTTCAGAGGGGTGTGAGTCATCATCCTCTCCCATTATAATGATGCCTTTGAGCTTGACATTGCCCGTAAATCTGCCAGAATGCGAAACAGAAGGTTGTCAACTTAGGGTTAAATCCTTAAACTGCTGTGATCCTGAGCAAGACCATTCCCTTTTCTGAGCTTCAGTTGATGCATCTGTCAGACTTAAAACTGGATACTACTGCTCAGATCTGCCTAGCTCTGGCATTCTGCAATTCTAAGAACTTTACCTCCATTTCCCAGCTATTTTTCAACAAATACATCTGTTCCAGCCAGCTTCAAAAGAAAGCTATCATGCTTTTCTCCTGGAGCCCACTAAAGTCATTTACCCCAATTCTAGAAACAGATGTCTGTTCTTGATGCAACCAAGGAGATACTTACGGAATATTAAACAGAAGCTCTTCATCTGCATCACTTTCAACAAACTGGAGGGGTCGGGGAGGTGGGAGGAGAAAGCAACAAACATTTGCTGAGAGCCTACACTTTCAGGCATCTCCCACCCTGTCCTACAAGTGGGGGCGCAACGCAAATAGGCAACCTTCTCCAGGTTCTGCAGGACTTACTGACCTGAAGCTAAATGACTATTGCTTCTCGACCCTTTGGCTAAGATCAAGTGATGACAACTGATCTTATTCTAATATCCATAGACCATCACCGGGTGAGTTCCTACAGGGAAGCCTCTTGAATTGCGAACCGAAAAGACTGGAGATGACGTGAATTTTTCTGGGAGGGGGCCCACGGCTTTCAAATGGCTCTCAAAGGGGTCTGTGCTCCAAATGGGAAACACCCATCATCTCCCTCGGGCGAGCTTCACCAGGTAATTTGATCAGGCAGCCACCGAGACCCATGATCAAAGGGCAGGGAAAACGCTCTTAAAACCAACCTCCCTCACAGCCCTCACGGCCCACACAGCTCCGCAAAGAACCTCGAGCTGCGCGCAGCCAAAGCAGCGCCCACTTTTTCTCTCCGGGTCTCAGTTTCCCCAGGGGCAAGAAGACAGGCGCCTCGACCCCGCTGGCCTCTCGCAAGCAGACAGCAACAAGAAAGCGCCTGGCGACCGCGCTGCCGTCCTTTTCCACCTCAGGAGCGCGGCCGACGAGCCTGCTCGCCGCCCCGACCCCGGCAGCCCACCTTGGAGCGGTCGGTCCGCTCCTCCCACGGCTTGAAGACGCCGCGGCCGCTGCCCTCGCGGCTCTCGTTGAGGCACTGCAGCCGCTCCAGGTCGATGCGCAGGTACAGGCCGTAGGCCAGGCCGCGCTGCTCTGGCGGCTCCTCGCGTTCGGCTGCACAGCGACAACCGCCTCCGCCGTGGCTGTGCCCGTGCGACATGGCGACGCCGCCACCCGAGCGTCCCTCTGGCACCGCCACGCCGCGTTCGCTCCGCTCCGGCCGCCAAGCGCCGCGTCCGCCGCGTCGTAAAAGGCGCCCGCGCGTGGCGCATGCGCCGAGGAAGAAAGGGGCGGGGCCCTGGAGATTGACGTGGGACCTGCGCCTTCTGTGTTTGACTCTTTCGGTGCTGGAAGTGAATACTTTTTTTTTTTTTTTTTTTTTTCGGAACCAGGGATTGAACTCAGACCCTTGCACTTGCTAGGGAAGCACTTATTCCACTGAGCCATCTCCCCGGCCCTGGAAGTGAATACTTTTATTCTCCCAGCTTCAGGGACCGGGAAATAGAAGGGCGGAATGAGGCATCATCGGATGATCAGAGCAGATGGCCGGGATTCGACTTCTCTGAAGTCTGCGCTCGCTGGCCACCACTTTTCTTTGGCGCTGCGGAGTGATAAGGCCCTGGCGGACTGGAAGACATCGCGTTGTCTCTGCACGGACCCACCTTGCTAACAACTTTCTCAGCCGGCTCCTGAAGAGCCGCCAGATTTGGAGGCAGCTGCTGGGTCTGCTGCTGACGGTTTGAGACTGAGTAAGTCATGTTCTTAGTTCTGAGACTTGCTCCCTCGCCTGTAAATGAAGAATGTTATCTGTTTCGTAGGATCGCAGTGAGTACGGTACTATGTGAATGCGATTCAAGAACCCAACGTAGGCAGGGCAAGGTGGGCACACCCGTAATCCAGAACTTGGGAAGCCGAGGCAGGAGTTCGAGGCCAGCCTGGGCAACAGAGCAATCTCACGCCAGCCTAAACTGCATAAGGAAACCCTGTCTGAAAAAGACCAACAAAAAACCCCAACACAGGCTGACACGAGGTAGGCGTTCAACAGCTGTTGGGTTCTGATTGTCAAATCCTACAGTGCCGCTTAATAGCTCTGTAGTGTTGGACAAGTGATTTAACCTCTCTGAAGTTCAGTTTAATCCCTGCAAAGCGAAGAATTTGAACTAGATGATGTTTTTTGTTTGTTTGTTTTTTAGATGATCTTTAAACTGCCTCTTCTGTGTGATATTTCGGAACAGTCTTTCAAACGACTACTTGTGACAGTAGTGGATCTTAAAATCCATTTGGTGGATTGTGACCGTGTTTGAACAAATAAAATAGGGTGCAACTTTTAAAAAATCAGAATGTGTCACACTTGAAGTTGCAACAGATGTAGCTTTGTTTCAGTTTGGGGTTTGTGTACTCAGGCCAGACTGAAAGTGTTTCATTTTCTGGGTTGAGGTTAAAAGCATTGAAAGTCAGTCTTTAGAGGTGAAATGATTCTGTTTTCAGATAGGATGTTTACTTACCGTTGATGGGAGAGGATGTTCCCTGCCCTTGCAGCTGGCCTAGGCTACACTGGTGAAATACAAATCAAATTATTAATCTGTTCAAGTTCCATTCATAAATATTTTGATGCCCTACTTCAGTTATTTGTGAAATAAGCAAATTTTAGTTCAAAAAGTTCAGTGGCATGAATGATTCCTATTTTCACATTGCAGACTCAAGCATGGGCCTGGCATGGTATATATATATATATATAGTGTTTGTGTAACTGAATCTTAGTCTTAGTAGCCTTTCCTTGGAAAAAGTCCCAGTGAAGGGCCAACACAGGAACCCTAGCTGGAGGTCTCACTATGACATCTTTCCTGTTACCTCCATCACTGTCTTCTGTTGAGACAGGATCTCACTAGATAGTTCAGGCTGACCTCAAAACTGGCAACAGTCCCCCTCCTGCCTCTGCTTCCCAAGTGCTGGGATTACAGGAGTGGGATTACAGGAGTGGGATTACAGGAGTGCACCACCGTGCCCTGCTCACTGTCATCTTTTATTGATGTGTGGAGCTCCATGTGCCAGGCACTGTGTTAAGCACATTGTGTCGTCTATCTCAGTAACTTGTCCTATGACTTAAGAATTTTTTTTTTTACTGGCTCAGGCTGCCTTAAGGGCAGGTTTGGTAAGGCACGGGGAGCTGGGGCTCGAACTGCGATTCCCAGGGCCTGACTGGGTTTGCCCCAGCAGGCACTTAAACAACTGAGCTAACCCACAAGCCCCGTCCTATGACTTGAAATAGATACATAACAATGTTATGTCCAATTTGACAGTGAAAAGTGAAGATAAAGGGTCAGCCAGATAGCTCAGCCGACTAAAGCGCCTGCTTAGGCAGGCACAGTGACCAGGTTCCAGGGTTCGATCCCCAGCGTGGGGGTCGGTCCCACCCCCAGGGCGCACTGAGACTGGGAGTGGTGGCACACACCTGTAATCCCAGAGTTTGGGTGGCTGAAAACAGGAGGGTCACTACGAGTCCAATCTGTGTAATGAGACCCTGTAGACCCTGTACTGAAATACTAAAAAAAAGAAAAAAAAAAGTGAAGCTAAGAAAAAGGTGAATTAACTTGCCCAAGACTAGACCAAGTTAGGAAGTAACCAGACTTTGAATTCAACCTGTAGTATTCCTGAAACATACCTTCTCAGTTTCCAGGAGAGAGCAGAGGTACCTATGAAGTAATTATATTGCATTAGTTAGCTAATGCTGTATAACAGCTCATTCTAAAACAATAGCTTGGGGCTGGTGAGATGGCTCAGTGGTCTAAAGCACCTACTTAGTACAAGCTAAGCTAAGCAAAAACACAGGGACCGCGGTTCAATCCCCCAGCACCACATGCCAGCCAGCCCTGCCCCCCTGGTGGGCTGAGCTGGCCACACACACACACCCACACACGCAATAAACAAATAAATAAATATTTTAAAAAAATAAAACAATAGCTTTGGGGCTGGTGAGATGGCTCAGTGGTCTAAGGCACCTACTTAGAACAAGCTCAACTAAAGCACAGGGACCGCGGTTCAATCCCCCAGCACCACATGCCAGCCAGCCCCGCCGCCTGGTGGACTGGGATGGCCACACACACACACACACACACACACAGATAAATAAGATTTAAAAAATAAATAAATAAATAAAACAATAGCCTTAAACAACACATATTTATTTACTATTCTTCATGATTCTGTGAATTAGCAGAGTTCTCTTCTAGACCAGTTTGGCGTAGGCTGAAGCTTGGAGCGCCCTCACATGTCCGTGTGATACTGGCCATCATCTAGGGTGTTGGGGCCACATGTCTCCAGCAGATACCAAAGCTTAGTTCCAAGGTGACCATCCCTGAGTTCCCAAGAGCAAGAGAAGACAAGGCCCAACTGCATAAGCACTTTTTAACCCTCTGCTTCTATGATTTTTCTTTCTTTTTTATGTAAAACAGGCATTTTGCATTTCTTAGGATCAGACACAGGGCCTTGGGCATGGTGGGTAAGGACAAGTGTTGTATCCGAGCTGTCCTCCAAATCCCTGAGGCTATCTCTTTTCAGTTATGAACTCAATACCATAGTAGATAGGAACACATTTCAAAGTATCCTCTCCAGCTCAGTGACGTTGTAAAAAGAACAGAAAGCTTAAACATTCCTCCTTTTTGCAGGACTTGTTAGCTTTAAAATCTCTTCAGTGTGGGTGGAGGAGATGGCTCAGTAGAATAAGTGCTTGCCTGGCAAGTGCAAGGGTCTGAATCCAATCCCCGGTTCCACCAAAAAAAAAAATCACTTCTTGGTGTTTAGCTGCTAAAGACACCCAATTTTTCACATGTTGAATATTTTTTCTATACGTTTTTATCTTCTAATGGGAAAGGCTGAAGGCTCCACTTCAGGCCCTGCCATCCCAGTTCTCTCCTGAATGAATCAACACTTCTCAAGGGCTTTCTCACAGTCATTGCATCATTACACTCTCCATGATAATCCTTGCTGATTGTTCATTATTCATAATAAGATCCATCTCTCCAAAAGACTTTCTTTCCTACTTTCTGTATTCATAGATTTCTTTGTGTGTATGTGTGTGTATCATAGACTTCAAAAGTGAGGGCTGGCCAAGTAGCTCAGCAAATTAAAGCACCTGCAAGCAGGTTCAGGGGCTGGGGGTTTGATCCTTGTGCCTGCCATTCTGGCCCCATGCCCGGGGCACACTGAGATGGCAATTGAGACTGGGCGTGGTGGCACACGCCTGTAATCCCAGCTCTTGGGAGGCTATAAACAGGTGGATTACTATGAGTCTGATGTAGTAGTGAGACTCTGAACACCCTGTAGATTCTTCCCTAAAATCCAAAAAAAAAAAAAAAAAGTGACATTTTGGTGGTGGTGGTGGTGGTGTCAGGAATCGAACTCATGATCTTCCACTTGCCAGGCAGGCACTTGTGCCACTGAGCTATATCCCTGGCTCCTCAAAGCTGACCCTTAGGCACATATTCAGCAAGGCTTTTCCACAGTGAATATACAGGGTGCCTCTTCTTCCCCCGCGCATGCATGTTTATGACATAAAATAAGTCTTAATTAATGACTGGAGGCACAATTACATTCATTACATTCATGAGGTTTCTTTCTCTCTGGGGCAAATCCTGTTTTCTTCTGAGGGTGGACATCTGGCCCCTGGCTGTCCTGGAAAGACCATATTCCTACTTGCTAGGAGCCCACAGATGTTTGCCATCCTCAGGATCACAGAAGGTATTTGCACAGCCATATTAGCAGAGTTTCTGCCTTGCATGAGTTTACTGCTGTCTAGTAAGGTGGGACTCGTTGAATTTTCCACCTTCACTGCATCTCTGCGTTTCCCCCTGCTCTGTGTTATCTTATGTTTCACAAGTCACGACACAGAGGTGTAGACTCTCCTTAGGAGTTCTGTGGAGGACTACGGAGTTCTGCCTTTGGAATGAAGGCTTTCCCCCAATCGCTGCATTTATAGGGTTCCTCACCAGAGTGAACTCTCTGATGTCTAATGAGCTCTGATTCTGCAAACATACTTGTCTACACTCAGCCCATAAAAAGGGTGTCTTTCCTGTGTGACAGCTCTGATGTGCTGTGACACAGACCTTCTTGCTGGAAGCCTTGCCGTAGGGCCTCTCTCCTGTGTGAATTTGTTGATGTACCATAAGATTGCCCTTCTTTTCTTTTTTTGGTGGAACCAGGGATTGAACTCAGGCCCGTGCACTTGCCAGGCAAGTGCTTATTCTCTTG